ACGTCTCTCTCCTCCTCTCTCTCTCTCTCTCTCTCTCTCTCTCCCTCCCTCGAAACGTCGGATCACGTTTTCAAGATAGTGGCAATTAGCATGGAAATAGTGTAGTAGCGTCGAGTCATGCGTAATTCATTGGACACAGTCATTTTCTTTCAAACATTGGAATTACAAGCGCGATGGTAGTTGTTAGTACGATCGGCCGTGTCAGCGGGACACATTAAGCCGTGTGTATAATCCGACGCGTGTCATAACGCAGACTGCGGCCAGAGGCACGCACGGTGTATCGCTGGATTATGGGGTTGTCGACACGAGGGATCGTGTTATTCGGTATCACGTCCCTCAGAATATCGCACAAATGGATTCGTATTCCGCCGCACTTCTTTCCACGAGCATGCATATCAATGGGCCCGCCACTTTCCAACCTCTCGAGCCGGAGGGATAAAATTTATCGAGCTTAGGTGCCGGTGATTTCTTGTTTCTACCAGGCTCGTAGAAACAGGCGATTAGAATCGTAATAGTTTTTTTTAAAATCCACCTACTCGAATCTGACCTGGCTTTATAAATCTACTAGACTTCATATGAAATCAGTAATAATTAATAATTTAATCCGATGAAGGATGTGATATTCGAAAAGAAAGATTTACAATTTAAAATGGTAATTTCGAAACTTTAAGACAGCTATTTTAGTAAACAAGAAACAGATATGCGCCCGCCACTTTCGAATCTCTCAAGATGAGGAATAAAATTTATCGAGCTTAGGTGTCAGCGATTTGTTTCTTCAGGTTCTGGAAACAGACGATTAGAAGGAAAAAGTGTAATATTTTCTTAAAGTCCACTTACTTTATATCTTTCTTTTCTTTAACCAAATTCCAAATTTTCTTCCTTTCTGAAATATTAGATTATTCTGAAAATTTGAATTGAGAAAGAGAACATAATTCCATTTGAAATTGAAAATAATTTCCAATTAAATTCAGTCGAATGAAATAAAATAAAATATAGTAATAACTAATAATTTAATCCTCGAGACGATCATTTCTTCGATCTCTACTTACAGAATAAAGCAGACAAAATTATCTCAAACAAGAAACGGATAACGTGTTCGCAAGACTCCACCGTTATTATTTGCAGAATAATCCGCATTCACGGATGGAATTGGCCATTACGCCGCGCGTAGGTGTCTAGGAGAAACACCATGGAAGATCGCGTAGGAATGTAACACGGTGGCTGGGAGCGTGGGATGGCTGTTTAGAGGAGGCAACAGAGGCTGTAAGAGTACCGAAAAGCGTGGAAAAGGCTAGGTTCCCTACCCATGGGGGCAGAGACGTGCACGAATAGACGCTGAAGGCGATGTTCTTCCTTCCCTTGCTCCGTTTCTTCTGCCCTCTTCTTGTCGCCTGCCTCCGTTTTCCAATTTTTCTCCCCTTCCACCGACCACACCTTCCACCTACATTCTCTTCGTTCCACGACACGATGGGATCCTTCCTTCCGTCCATTTAATCAACCCTCGTGACAATGGCGACACTCGTCAAAAAGTTAAATTAAACGTAGTTAATTCGCCTTAAGAAAACGTATCCGATAAACGTATCATAACCCTCCTCCCCAAGAGCTCAGCTGTTCAGAGATAAGGAAGGAAGCCAAGGGCTTCTCCAAGGCTGATCCATCCCAGGCAGGTGTCCTTGGTGCAACATTAATTCGACGGGTGAGGCGCAGAGTGTGCAGACTCGCAGCTACTGCAATTCCTCCCTCCAATGTTTTTTAATATCATTCCCAGGCCTGCCATAACTCTTTCCACGACCCCCATACGGTGTACCAGCGGCGATGTTCCTTGCTCCCAGACAACATCCACGTGGGGTGGGAGGAATCCGCAGATGCGTCCCATCCGGGCTCGAAAGCTCGCTCGAGCTTGCGAAAAGCCAGACCATTGACACTGGTCTGGGGCGCCCGCCATTGTTGCCGGGCTAATAAAGAAAAATAAAGGCCCCTCTTCCCGCAGGACATTAACTCTTTCCCGGCTTAACTTCCTCCCCTCTCTCAAGGAGCGAGGAAATCTAAATCGCGGTTGTTCAATCCGCCTAACCTCTTCTTTATTGTTCGAACGAAAGCAAATTAGCCTTGGCTCAGCCGCTCTTCTTTCTCTTCTGGATCCTCTTTGCCTAGTAGAGAGGGGACAATTGTTGAGGGGCCGGTGTTGTTGATCTTTCGAAGGATGGATCCTTTTATATCGATGGTGGAAACGAATCTTTGATTTTCGACGAAGAGAAGAAAGAAAGAAAGGACGAGATCGATGGGCGAGACGACTCTTCAGCGGCTAATAAAGAGAAATAAAGGCTCGCTGATGGATATTAGCTTCATATTTTTTCCTTTACCGCCCTCGATTGCTGGCTCCTCTCTCCCTTCTCTCTCGAGTGTAGCTCGAGAGGAGAGGATTCGTCGAAGGAAGGAAACGGACGCGACGAAACTGTTCGTTCGTGACGCGGTTCCAAAGAGGGAGGAGATGGCGAATTTATGGCCGACTCCCGGCTTCGATTTTCTTGAAACATTGATCCCCTTTCCATCGCCGCGAATTGTTTCCCCGTCGCTCTTCCCCGATCCCATTGAATTGGATTCCCAAGAAAGATCCTTCCCAACCGCCCCGCTCTTCCCTCTAGCTTCCCGGATCTCGAAATTGGGCCGATTGTTTCGTTGATTTATCCCGATAGGTGGCCTCGACGTTGGAACAAATTAGAGGATGTTTCATTCCCACGGACGACGTTTAAGGCCATCTCGTGAATAATGTAATCGACCCGACCTTTTCCAAATTAATTACCGTCACTTTCTCTCTCAGATCCGTCCGAGAACTCGTCAATTTTGCGACGGTCAGACGATCCCCTGTCGGGTTATCCCATCCATCGATTCTTTCCGTCGAAATAACTCGTCTATTTTCGATCGAAAGGAAGGGGCTTTCCCCTGATTCCACGTTGTGGAAACGAATATGGCGCATTAATTCGGGCGCGGCTGCGTTGTTTCTCAGTGTTTCGTCGAAGGGGTCGACGTGAACCGTGCAAGCTGAATCTGCCTGTTCAGTCATCTAGCTCTCTGCCTGTGTGCAGAACTGCGAATAATCATTTTTTTAGTAATCGTGCACAAACGATTTTCGTACGATACCCGAGGGAATCTTATTTCTTGGGGGGAATTAATAATCGAGAAGAAGGAAAATGTAGAATTGTTTGCTCTCGAATGATCGTGCGAAATCGATATTTTTTGAAAAATGAAGCGAAGAAAAAGATTAATAAATTAAAATTATATTAAATGACGAATCTCTGTTTCTCTAGAAACGTCAAAGTGGAGAATATTTTTTTAAGAGAGTTTAAAATAATATAAGTGGAGAATATGTATTTCGAGATTGCCGTTAAAAATTATTATTAATGCATCAGATCATCTCTGACCCCAGGTTGCCACTATTTTTACTGTTGCAGATTCGAAGATGAAGTGGCCATTAGTGCTGACTTGCCTTCTGTTGCCCCATTCGTGCATCCTCGGTGCATCGCATGCCGGTAAGTGGTTATTCTTCCAGTTTCTTATCCTGTAATCGCGGAATAAATTATATCGTCCGCAATCATCTTGTTATTTCGCGTATCGACCGTGTGACAGGCCTACGAATATCCTCCATGCCTTCCGCATCCAGCCGAATAAATTAACGACCGCTTTCTCCAACTCGGCCCCTCCATTATCTCTGGAAATAAACCCTCCCCTTAATTAACCTAACCCATTCCTAACCGACGTTATTATGTTGAAAATTCGCTCGACGATTTCAAAAGAAAGAGATCTTAACCTTCTATTCGTCGGGAATAAATTCGTTTTCGAATTCATTCATAAAATCTCTCGAACAAAAAAAGGAGGGGAGGAATCGAGCAAGATGTTGAGAGAGAAAGAGAGAAACATGGACTCGTTAATAAATGTTCGTCACCGCGACATCGGTTCTCCTCTCAAGGATTGACCCGGATGTGATAAAACCGGCGCCATTATCGCGTCGTAAATCATCCCCTCGATCGACAGTTTGTTCGAAGGTTTGTGCGTGGAGGAAGGGGGCGCAGCGACCCTCGATTTCGCGCAACGAGCCGTGAAAACGGGCATCGAGGCCAGAAAAACAACCGAATTGAATCTATTTCCCTCTTTCTATTAGCCCGGCCATGGAGCGCGAAAGGCCTTAATCCGCCCCTTGTTGGAAAGGAATCTGGCGTAAAGTTTTGCTAGAAAAATACGTGAACAGGATTAAGATCGAAAATCGTGATAGAAAGTTTCAAATTTTCTTTCCAATCTGACTTTCATTTCAAAATGTTAACTCTGATGAGCATTCATTTATAATCAATCACGCAACAATCCTCTATTTTTAATACACGTGGCATCTACACATTCTACTCTGAAAGTTCTGATACATGATTTAATACAGCATTTAAATATATATATATTTAATCGTGGAAATACGTCGAGGATGGATAATTCGTGGACTTAATGCACAGCGAGCCATGAGTGAGCCTGTCCTCGCGCCACGTGGTCAGATAAATTGCTTCTGCTTCCCCCTTGTGAAAGGAGGAAACTGTGGCAAGCCAACATGTTGTTCTTATTGTTTCGATTTCTGGTGTAATTAATCATAGTGCCCTTGCAACCCTTTAGGATTAGGTGGAGCTTAAGTGGGAGTTGTGCAACGATGAATTTTCAGCCTTTTTGTCTCGATGAATTCGAAAATAACATTATACGTATAATTAAAGACTCAGTTTGGAGAGAAGAAGTGGGATAGAAAAGGTTGAGAGGGACGTTTCCTAATTTCATTGCACGAAGGAAGGGAACAGTCGATTGATTCGTTGCAGGCGTCAAGTTCCATCGGAGCAAAAAGACTTCCTTCTTTCGATCTCCTTCTATGGCACGCCGTTCCACGCCTAATTTGCATGTGAATGGACCGTAAAAGAACCCGGCGAAGATAAGCCGAGAGCCGTATAAATATTTCCTTCCACGATTTCCAACTTCGGTAATAAACAGGTTAAAGGATCGTGTAGCGAACGAAATTGTTCCGAATGGTAATCCTCGTTACATCGCCATTATGCGCCATTAGGAATATGCCTGTGTAATAAATTCCTTAGCCTGGCCTGTTACCTACTGCCGTTAAAAATGGCCGATTCTGACACATTATTTCGAACTTTTATCCTCCATTGAATCGATCTTTAATCCAGAATCGTTTCGAAACGATCATTGTACGACTCGATTCCACGAGTCGTACGAGGGCAAATCTTCGTGACAATCCGCTCGTGTTCGTCGAGGGGGTGGTGGGGGTCTCGAGACACGCGGACAGTGTTCAGGGGCAAAGTGCAGTCACCCGCCACTGGGCCGGTAGAGGGGCAAAGGAACCGCATCGGAGAACTCGACGAGACTTTCCCCTTTCGACTTAATTGGCGGCTTCGAGACTAACGGTGGCGGCCGTCTACGTCGATTGAAGTGGCGCTTTGGCCACGGTCGCGGACTAAGAAGCTGGAAACTCGTTAACGGCCCTTGCGAACAATCGATCCCTCTTCTCGAGATTCTCGTCTTATTTTTTTTTTTTTTTCCATTTCCAGTTGGTGTATATATCGGTGAAAGGTAGCTAGGGAAAAGTTGCTAGAGAAAAAGTAGATCTATCCGATTGAGATTCCAAAGGAGGATTAAAAAAATTGTAATTTACAAGTATGACGTGATATCGGTTGGAATAAAGTGTATTTCGCGTACGTTGCATTATCGTTAAATTTTCATTTTCAACGAGAGTTGTGTAATTGGCCCATTTATTATAATTCCGTTACAATCTATGCAACGGCTATATTATTGTAATATGCAAAGAAATTAAATTTTGAGCCCAACGTTGAAACTAATATCGGTTAATCGATCCGTTAATTAAACAGTAACTGCCCCAGTTTTGAAACAATTGTGTCTCGTTTCGTGAAACTGGAACGTCTAAACCAATTTAGGGGATGGCGAGGAAAATGGAGAGGAGGAACGGCCGACGAGGAACGACGATTTAATTTTCTTTCATTAACGTCACTCCACTCGCGCGATTAGTCATGAATTTTATAACCGACGTTGATCACTATTAATAACGCGTAGAAAAATAGAGGTGGCCGCAACAATGAACGTTCGAGCGTATCGATGAATTCTCTCTCTCCTCTCGTCATTGTTCCCGCGACCCATTAACAGTAGTTCGTAACTATTTACGTCCACGAGTTTGCAAAGTAATGGCGTTTCGATCGAATCCCTCGATATCACCAATTAGCTCAAAAGTATCATGAAACGTCAAAAAGTAAATCGTTAAGGATCCAGATATTCGGTCTCCTCTTTCGAAAATTCGACTTTTACTTTTACGTCTCTGTACTCCTTTTTTATTTGGTTTTAATTTGGTTCCCTCATATCGATGAATTTGTCTTTTCCTTTTTTTAGTAATATTACATCAAGAGTAAAGCGAAAAAATTACTCGAATCGAGTTATTAAACTCGAATGATTTTAAAGAGTCTGTTTTTTTTAAACAGATTTTAATGTATGATATATTATCGATAACTGGTATTTAATTTATATTCTTTAATAATTGTTCGAGTCTTTAAGAAACCTTAATACCTTTATTTCATTTATATTCATCGTTTAAGCTGTTGAGTTTATATATATGTAAAGGCGCGACTCGTATCTTGTATATTTATATGTGAATTAGGCGTCATTGTTTTGTTTTGTTTCCGACGAAAGTAATGAGCGTAGTGGAACGAAGGCATCGGCACGATCCACATCTATACGTAAGTTTATTCCTATTTCTCTTATTAAATATATTCTGATTGATATTCTTATCGAATATTCTTTATTTTAATCGAATTATTACGCAACCTATTCCCTAATATAAGCGTGTAGAATTTATTCTTGCTAGTTATTAACATTATGACGACCAGTAACGCGATACTAGCGCCACACAACCATTAACTATCAATCTGTGATTCGATGAGTCTCAACTACCAATGATTTTACTTTTTACTCGCTAAAAGTCTATCTATCCATATGTATATAGTTTATTCCTATTCTTATTCCTCTTAAATATTAAATTAAATATTAAATATTCCTCTTAAATTCTTTCTTTTATTTTGGTCGAATCATTTCACAACTTATTCTCTAATATTCAGAATTTCTAGAATTTTTTACTCTTGCTAATTATTAATATTATGACGATCAGTAACGCGACACTAGCGCCACATAACCATTAACTATTAATCTATATGATTCGAATATTAAGTCTCAACTAATTACAAATATCTCTTTGAACAAATCGACCAACTATAAATCAAGCTATTTACTTTGCTAACTAACATATATTATATTGATTCTTACTTTCTTTATTAAATATAATCTTTATTTTAAACTTAGACTTTGCTCTTGCTAGTTATTAACACCAGCTTAACCACACTTAACCTTAATTATCAATCTATACGATTCGACAACTACTAATGATTCTACTTTTTACTGGCAAGATACACTGGTAAAGAAAGTTCGATTGTTCCCAAGCAGCTAAAAAGGCTTGAAGCTATACCTTGAACTACAAGTTACAAAGATCTCTTTGAAAGAGCGATCAGGCAGCTATAAGGCGAAAGCTGTTTTAATGACGGAAAGCAGAAACGATTCCCTGTTTTTTGAGACGGCGAACCAAGGAAGTTGACGCGTCTTGCGCCGATCTTCTCGAACAAACAGAGGAGAGGGAGGGAGGAGGGGAAAAAAGACATGACGTAAAAACGGTTAGGGCTTGGTGTCCCTTGTATTGCATAATCGCCGATTCCCTTTGAGCCATTGAATTTGATAACTACCTTAATTGGCAGCTTGCCGTCTCGCGAAAGCCATCTTTGTCGATTGAAGCCCGTTGCCGAAGGGGCGACACTCCAGAGGCAGAGGATGAGTTCAGCGGATGGAAAGTAAGAAGCTCGAAACTCGTTAATGGCATGGATTCCCGCGGGACAATGACGTAAAGACCGTTGTCGGCAACGTGGTTGCGCGAGATTCCTCCTCCAAGTAACTATTGACCTTTTCTTCTCTCTCTCTCTCTCTCTCTCTCTTTCGTCCCTCTCGCGTTTTGCTAAACGCTGACAAATAATTTGTTCGCCGCTTCGTAGCGAATCTCTGACGATAACGCATAATTGGAGGATTACTGATTATCGACGAGATTATTAAAGCTTTCGTCGCTTTCGAAAATATCATATTTCACAACGTTATCTTCCTTCCTTTTTATTAATCGAGATTTAATTATAATAATAATAATAAGTTCCAAATTTTTCGCTCGTCATAGTCGATAATTTTCGTATAATTTTTAATCACGTGTGTATATACGAAACGGTATATACACACGTGTTCCTCGAAAGGAACGACGGACGTGTCCTCCTCCTCGCGTCGATCGATGCGATGGCCTCGTCTCGAAAAATCAAGAAGAACACCGGCCTGTTTCGAGGCTGGTGCCGCGTTGGTATCGCGTTACAATGGAAATTCGTTAGATTCACCTCCGGTTTCCGTA